CTCCAAACCCTAAACCCTCCACAAACCCCGCGAAAAACGGCTCCCTCAAAGTCTCTATGTTGTCAAAGCCAGACCTTAAGCCCTGAGACCCTAGAACACAAACCCTAAACCCTAAACCCTAAACCCTAGACCCTAAACCCTAAACCCTAATAAGTAGGCAGATAAGTCGGCGTACCTTCATGTTGTGGTAGTTCTGCGGCAGACACACACGCACGGAAAGGCGCCCGGAAACCCTAAACCCTAAACCCTAAACCCTAAGCCCTAAACCCTAAGCCCTAAGCCCTAAACCCTAAACCCTAAACCCTAGCGCGAAACCCTAAACACTTGGAGTGCAATTCTTACGTTGCGAATGTTCAGCGTGAGGAAGCCGGCCTGCGCGCGCACAAAACTCGGTGTCCCAAACCCTAAACCCCAAACCCTAAACCCTAAACCCTAAACCCTAAACCCTAAACCCCAAGCAGAAACCCCAGGCCCTAAACCCCCGTGTGTTCCGCTGCTGCGTGGCGGCGCTTCAGCGGCGGGCCCCCCCCCTCCCGCGACGGCTCAGGGATCAGGGTTTAGGGTTTAGGGTTTAGGGTTTAGGGTTTAGGGTTTACCTCGTTTTCGAACAAGTCGTGGGGGCATAAACCCGTCAAGAAATACTTGCAAACATTTTCATCTGTGAAAGATTGATTGGGATCATCAATAGACCCCATGAGGTCTGACCACTGTTGTCTGAGGTGGTGCATTTTGAGGGTTTAGGGTTTAGGGTTTAGGGTTTAGGGTTTGGGGTTTGGCGGCGCGGAGGCGGCGCTTTCGGCGCGGACAGGGCAAAAAGCAAAATTCTGCCTCCAGACAAACCCTGCGAGGGTTTAGGGTTTAGGGTTTAGGGTTTAGGGTTTGGGCTGGCGGCGAGCAGTCGCTCGCGAGAGGCTCGGGCTGCCTCCTGCAGCGGAGACGAGAGTCTGCTAGGGTTTAGGGTTTAGGGTTTAGGGTTTGGGTTTTGCGACGAACCCTTGAAAAAGATCCAATCCGCAAATGTTGTGCCCGCGCCCCCTTCGCAAGCCCTAAACCCTAAACCCTAAACCCTAAACCCTAGCCCGAGGTCTGCTGCTGCGAGCCTCACATGCAGCAGCGGCCTGCAGCCCCACCCCAGGGGCCCCTGTGGCGAGGGTGACCGCTAAACCCTAAACCCTAGCGGCCGCCCGCTAAACCCTAAACCCTAAATTAGGGTTTTTTTGTTTTTGCGTGAGAAATGCGTAAGCGAGTTGAAAATTGGTTGGGGGTTTGGGAACTTGGCTCTGCATCTGCAGCCGGCGGTTGTTAGCGCAAACCCTAAACCCTCGCGGAAACCCTAAAAAGTGGTTTTGGGTGGATTTCGCTGGTTTTTGGGCGTTTCCGGACGGAATTTTCTGCTTTTTCCAGGGATTAGGGTTTAGGGTTTAGGGTTTAGGGTTTAATGCCGCGAGTGCGGACCAGCGGGGGCGCCAAACCCCCAGAGGGGTGGGACTTGGTGGCCCCCCCCCTCCTCGAACTTGAACGCCAAATGCGAGAAGCTGAAAACGAACCCCACGAAGGCAAAAGGCGCTGCGAAGCCTCTTGGAAGGTTTTCAAAATTCATCACCAGAGATCTCGCTACATTTTCGAGTGCTACTACAAGCGCAAGACCATTTCCCGTGCGTCCAAACCCTAATTTAGGGTTTAGGGTTTAGGGCTTAGGCTTAGGTTTGGGGGCTGCGCGGGGGCGCCGGCGCGGCGCGCGCTGCGGGCGCGCCTGGGGCGCGGTTTAGGGTTTAGGGTTTACGGGCTTTTAGGGTTTAGGGTTTACGGGCTGGGGTTTCGGGGTGGGGGAGGGTTTAGGGTTTAGGGGTCAGTGAGGAGGGTTTAGGGTTTAGGGGGCAGTGGGGAGGGTTTAGGGTTTAGGGGGCAGTGGGGAGGGTTTAGGGTTTAGGGGGCAGAGGGGAGGGTTTAGGGTTTAGGGGGCAGAGGGGAGGGTTTAGGGTTTAGAGGCCAGTGGGGAGGGTTTAGGGTTTAGAGGTCAGTGGGGAGGGTTTAGGGTTTAGAGGCTGTGGAAGCTGGGTGCGGCGTTTTCGCGGGTCTCCGCAAAACCCTTGTAAACCCTATTTTAGGGTTTGTAGACGCGCAAACCCTGATTAGGGGTTTTTCACCTTTAAGCCCACCTGAGCCGCAGCGACTGGCCTCTAGGGCCTTACCGCTTTCGCCAGGGGCATGCTGCTGCGCAAACCCTAATTTAGGGTTTGCGCAGACTGCGAAACCCTAAATCAGGGTTTGCGGAGCAGCAAGCTTCTAAAGTGGCGGGGTGTGCGGCTCGCTGGCGGGGTCTCCGTTGCAGCCTTGAGCGTGGGAGGGGTGGTCGGGTTTGGGGTGTGGAAACCCTAATTTAGGGTTTGGGCCGCGGCTGAGGCCGTAAACCCTAATTTAGGGTTTGCGCAGGGGAACTCTACGAGTACTGCTTGCGCGAGGGCTGGGCCGACGGGAGGTTAATTGCCAAGTGGAGAAAAGAGGGTTTCGAAAGACTTTGCTGCTTGCGCTGCATCCAAAGCAGCAGCAGCAACTTCGGGGCTGCATGCATTTGCAGAGTCCCCAAACGGGACTTGCCTCCCGACAAACGCGTGCGCTCCTGCTGCTGCTGCTGCTGCTGCTGCAGCTGCTGCAGCCACTGCAGCAGCTGTTGCTGCTGCTGTAGCTGCTGAGGCTGCTGCAGCTGCTGCTGCGGCAGCTGTTGGTGCTGCGGCAGCGGCTGCTGCTGATGCTGCAGCAGCGGCTGCTGCTAGTGCTGCAGCAGCAGCTGCTGCTAGTGCTGCGGCTGCTGCTGCTGCAGCTACGGTTGCTGCAGTTGCTGCTGCTGCAGCTGGTGCTGCAGTTGCTGCATTAGCACCAGCTGCTGCAGCTGCGGCACTTGTGCGTTTGGCGTGCTGCCAGAGATGAGACAAACCCTAAACCCTAAACCCTAAACCCTTTCTGGACGCCGGGGGGGGCTGTGGGGTGTATGTACACCCGAATAGAAGGATAACAGAGTTCCACTAAGGGTTTCTTTTCTTGAGTTTTATCAGCAGCAGCTGCTGCTGCATTAGCTGCAGCAGCTGCTGCATCAGCTGCTGCAGCAGCAGCTGCTGCTGCTGCTTTAGGTGCAGCAACTGCTGCAGCTGCTTGTGGCCCTTCAGGGTCTAGGGTTTAGGGTTTGCGAGCTCACGGGCCGCTTCGGTGGAGGCGGGCGTTTAGGGTTTAGGGTTTAGGGTTTAGGGTTTGTCCTTCTTCGCAGCAGCGAAACCCTAAACCCTAGACCGTATAAAAATGGCTTTCAAAACCCGCAGCCGCCAAACCCTAAACCCTAAAGATGCAAAACCCTAAACCCTAAGGCGTAAAACCTTAAAAACCCTACCAGTGTGGGAAAACGCGAAAACGTGATACGGCAAAAGTCCCAGCGATGTTTAGGGAGCTAGGGTTTAGGGTTTAGGGTTTAGGGTTTAGGGTTTAGAGAGTTTGTGTCCTCACTCCTCGATCGGCTGCGCCCTGAGCTCTAGTGCAGTGGAGTGTATATACACCGCGAAGCACTGAGACACGAGCCCTTTTCAATATTAGGGTTTAGGGTTTAGGGTTTAGGGATTGGGGTTTAGGGTTTAGGGTTTAGGGTTTAGGGTTTAGGGTTTAGGGTTTGAGGTAGCCAGGCCCAATGCATGCGGGAGGCGAGCATTCTGTGTGTCTTGGCTTGAAGCCTTAGTGTCTCCGCAGAACTGTATTACAATATCTTCTCATTTTAGGGTTTAGGAATTAGGGTTTAGGGTTTAGGGTTTAGGGTTTAGGACTGTGCGTGGCGGTTTGCCTGCAGCTGCCGAGCGCAGCTGGAGTCTCCGTACCCGCATATCGCTGCCTCCCCAGGGTTTGGGTTGGGGGCGCAGCCCGAGTCTAGGGTTTAGGGTTTAGGGTTTAGGGTTTAGGGTTTAGGGTTTAGGGTTTAGGGTTTAGGGTTTAGGATGTTGAGCCAACTCTTCATTTTGTCCCCCAGGGGGGACTGCCTGATGTCTCGGGAGTTTCGCCAAGATGTGCCCAAAGGGGCTTCGGAGATATTTTTGCGGCGAGTGCGTTTTTGGGGGCAGCAGCAGCAGCAGCAGCAGGAAGCAGCAGCAGCAGCAGCAGCAGCAGCAGCAGCAGCAGCAGCAGCAGCAGCAGCAGCAGAGGGGTCCGCCGCGGGCGGCGGCGAGGGCGGCGCCGCGGCGGCCCACGGCAGCGGCGCGTCCGCAGCAGCAGCAGCAGCAGCTGCTGCTGCTGCTGCTGCAGCAGGAGGCACTGCAGCAGCAGCAGCAGCAGCAGGCAGCGAGGCCCCCCCCGTGTTTGCTGCTGGGGGCCTCTCTTTTGCTTTTCTTAAGAGATATGGTTTATACTTTGTTGCAGTGACGCAGCAAAACCCTTCTGCTGCTCTTTTGATTGAATTGCTGCTCCGACTCGTCAAGGCCATCAAAGTAAACCCTAAACCCTAAACCCTAAACCCTAGCTAAACCCTAGAAGCAGCAGCAGCAGTGGCTGCCTCGCCCCGCGCGAGCGCGCCTTGCTGCTGCTGCTGCTGCTGCTGCTGCTGCTGCTGCTGCTGCTGCTGCTGCTGCTGCTGCTGCTGCTGCTTCTGCTGCTGCTGCTGCTGCTGCTGCTGCTGCTGCTGCTGCTGCTGCTGCTGCTGCTGCTGCTGCTGCTGCTGCTGCTGCTGCTGCTGCGGGGGCGGCAAACCCTCGCCAAACCCTAAATTAGGGCTTGGGGACATGTTTGTGCAGGATTTTTGCGGGGTTTTGACGGAGGAAGTGTTGCGGAGGAACTTCGTTTTGGTTTACGAAGTTGTGGAGGAAATTTGCGCCGAGGGTTTTCTCCAAAACGCTGAAACAGAGTTTTTGAAAGCCAACATTTTCTCCGAGCCGCTGCCCGACTGCAGCGCAGCAGACCCCAAGGCCAGCAGCAGCAGCAGCAGCAGCAGCAAATTAATTAATTAATTATTTAATTAATTAATATATTTATTTATTTATTTGTTTATTTGTTATTAATTGTTTTATTTGCTAGTTGGTTGTTTTGTTTGTTCGATTGTGTCTGCTGCTCTGGTTTGTTTGCCCGGGTGGTGGCTTTTTTTTCTGCTGCTGCTGCTGCTGCTGCTGCTGCTGCTGCTGCTTCTGCGAAGGCCACTCTCTCCCTGCTGCTGCTGCTGCTGCGAAGGCCACTCTCTCCCTGCTGCTGCTGCTGCCTCGCCCACTTGCTCTGCGCTGCTGCTGCTGCGTCGGCCATTTGCTCCGTGCTGCTGCTGCTGCTGCTGCTGCTGCTGCTTCGGCCGTTTGATGCGTGCTGCTGTTGCTGCTGCTGCTGCTGCTGATGCTTCGGCGGTTTGATGCGTGCTGCTGCTGCTGCTGCTGCTGCTGCTGCAGCAAGTGTCTCTTCCTTCTTTCGTGACGACGAGTCCGAAGACAATGCCGTCGACGGCGAGCCGGCGGCCAGTTGCTGCAGCGGGAGCAGCAGCAGCAGCAGCAAGCAGCAGCAGCGGGGGCGCAGCAGCAGCAGCAGCAGCAGCAGCACGCCGCCGCAGCGAAATCTTCGTAGACATCATCGAAAGGGTTTCTGCTGTCTTAGCAGCAAATGGCAATTTGCTGCATGCATGTCTGGAGGGTTGCATTCAAATGAAGTCTTATTTAGACCCCCCTCCTCTTTTGAAACTCGCTCTCACGGACCAAACCATTCAAATGAAGTCTTATTTAGACCCCCCCCCTCTTTTGAAACTCGCTCTCACGGACCAAACCGCCATTGGAGGCAAACCCTAAACCCTAAACCCTAAACCCTCGGTTTTGGGGGCCCGCTGCGACGCCGCGGGCAGCCTCCAGCCACGCGCTGCCCTACTTGCACGCGACTCCCTCTAAACCCTAAACCCTTGGCCCCAAACCCTAAACCCTTTACTTCAAACCCTAAACCCTTTCCTTCAAACCCTAAACCCTCTACTTCAAACCCTAAACCCTTTACTTTAAACCGTAAACCCTCATTTTAGTCCCTAGACCCTCGAGAGAGAGGCCCCGGGGCCCTCCTAAACCCTAAACCCTAAACCCTTGCTGCGCCTTTTGACGCTCAAGTTGATTTCCCGCATCTTAGAGCTGGGGCTGCGCAGTACTAACGAGGGTTTAGGGTTTAGGGTTTAGGGCGCTAAAGAGGGTTTAGGGTTTAGGGTTTAGGGTTTAGGGTTTCGGGTGTTTCCAGTTTCAAGGCCGAAGGCGTAGTGTTCCTGGTTTCGGCTTAAATTCCACGGGCGTGCACTCCGCAGCTCAGGGCTTAGGGTTTAGGGTTCAGGGTTTAGGGTTTAGGGTTTAGGGTTTAGGGTTTAGGGTTTGCGTGCAGGGTTTGGCGGGGGTTTGGTGGCGAGCGAGGGCTGCAACTTCCACGAGTGCGTGGACTTGTCTTTGTTTGAGTCCGAAAGACTTTTGAGTTTTAAACCTCCTTCTGGAGAATTCATTTTAATGAATTACAGAATTCCTTCTCTCTCTAACGTCCCTTTTAGGGTTTTGCCGACCCTCGAGGACCTGGGCAGGGGCAGGGTGCGCGAGGGTTTAGGGTTTAGGGTTTAGGGTTTGCGCCGAGGGTTTGCGGTTAGGGTTTGCGCCGAGGGTTTGGGGTTAGGGTTTGCGCCGAGGGTTTGCGGTTAGGGTTTGCGCCGAAGGTTTGGGGTTAGGGTTTGCGCCGAGGATTTAGGGTTAGGGTTTGGGGTTTGCGCCGAGGGTTTAGGGACAGGGTTTGGGGTTTGGGGCGAGGGTTTAGGGTTAGGATTTGGGGCGAGGGTTTAGGGTTAGGATTTGGGGCGAGGGTTTAGGGTTAGGGTTTGGGGCGAGGGTTTGGGAGGGTTTAGGAGCGTTCATCATTCACTACGGCTGTTCAGAGCTCCTTAGCGACTCCTGGGGTCCAGGGTTTAGGGTTTAGGGTTTAGGGTTTAGGGTTTGCTGCAGGCGGAGGTGACTTTGCGGGTTCGAAATGACATTCCCAACACTTCTTGTGCAGCAAATATTGTTGTCTCTCTTACTGTCCCCAAGTCCACTGCTGCTGCTTCTCTAGAAGCCATTCCCTCCGTGGCTGCGCAGGCGAGGGTTTAGGGTTTAGGGTTTAGGGTTTAGGGTTTAGGGTTTAGCGGTTGGGCGCTCCTGCAGCCGCCGCTCCCCCGACTCCTTGTCTCCTGCTGCTTCTCTAAACCCTAAACCCTAAACCCTCTTGTTTTTCTTCCTATTTCTCTTGCCGGGGTCCTCTACGTAGCCCAAAGGGTTTAGGGTTTAGGGTTTAGGGTTTAGGGTTTGGGGTTTGGGGTTTGCTCTGCAGAGCGCGGAGTTCATTGCGTCGGAGCATCGAGTCCAGTGGGTGCTGAAGAAGTTCCAGGTGCGCCTCAAACCCTAAACCCTAAACCCTAATTCCAGCTAGCTAGCTAGCCTTGTAGCTAGCTAGCTAGCTAGCTATGCGGCTAGCCATACAAGCAGCCAGCTAGCTAGCGAAATAGTTAGCCAGCCAGCTAGCCGTCCAGCTAGCTAGCCCAGTTATGCAGCTAACCAGCCAGGTAGCCCCCCACCCAGCTAGCTAGCTAGCTGGCTAGCTAGCTAGCTGGCTAGCTGGCTAGCTAGTTAGCCAGCTAGCCACCCACCCACCCAGCCAAACAGCCGGCCAGGCGGCTAGCCACCCTCGCCGCTAGCTAGCCAGCTAGCTAGCCAGCTAGCTAGCCAGCTAGCTAGCCATCTGTCCAGCAAGCTAGCCAGTTACCTAACCAGCTGGCTAGCCAGATAGCTAGCCAGACAGCCAGCTAGCTAGCCAGCCAGCTAGCTAGCCAGCCAGCCAGTTGCCTATCCAGCTAGCCAGCTAGCCAGTTGCCTATCCAGCTAGCCAGCTAGCCAGTTGCCTATCCAGCTAGCCAGCTAGCCAGTTACCTAGCTAGCTAGCTAGCCAGTTACCTAGCTAGCTAGCTAGCCAGTTACCTAGCTAGCTAGCTAGCCAGCCAGCTAGCCAGCCAGCTAGCCAGCCAGCTAGCCAGCCAGCTAGCCAGCCGGCTAGCCAGCCTGCCAGCTAGGTAGCTAGCCAGCTAGCTAGCTAGCTAGCTAGCTAGCTAGCTAGCTGCGTGTGTTCAGGGGGGCAGCGAGCTGGCGTTTGTGGCGCGGCTGACTTTCCACCCGTGGGCGAGCCCTCCGCTGAAGACCGAATTTGGGCCCTGCAGTTTGGACTTTGAAATTCCCATGTACAGCATTTCCAGCCTCCAGGTCAGCAGCAGCAGCAGCAGCAGATGTAGGGGGAGACCATTCGCAGCAGCAGCAGCAGTAGTGGTGGAGCAGCAGCAGCAGCAGCAGCAGCAGCACGAACGGCAGTAGAAGCTGGTGTTTCTGGTGCTTTTGCTGTTGTCTGCGGCGCTGCTGCTGGCCCTACTGAAGCAGTTGCTGCTGCTGCTGCTGCTGTGTCCGACACAACTGTTGCCGCTGCTGCTGCTAATCGAACGCTGCTGCTGCTGCTGCTGCTGCTGCTGCTGCTGCTGCAGGTGCGGTACCTGCGGGTGGCTGAGCGCCAGGGCGCTTTCAATCCTTTTCGTTGGGTCCGTTATGTGACTCAGTCTTCTTCTTACATTTGCAGATTTTAAATAAATAAAACAAATAAATAAAATAAATAAAAAATAAATAAATAAAATAAATAAATAAAAATAAGTTCCCTTTTCGAACTCTCGAGAGCCGAAAGCGCCGCAGCGAACGCGCGCTCAGGTGTACGTACACCTCAGAGCCTCAGCCGCATGCATTTTCCTTTTTCTTTTTTTCTTTTTTTCTTTTTTTTCTCTTTGGCTTTTTAATAGCCACTTCTTCTCAATGAACCTTTTCCTTGCTATTTCTTTTTCCCAAAAGGAAATAACAAAAGCAAACAGCAGCAGCAGCAGCAACAAGGGGCCCCCAGGAGGCCCCCAGGGGGCCCCGGGGGGTCCCCAGGATCCTGTGGGGCCCCACAGACCCGAAACGCCAAGGGGCCCCCTGGGTCCCCTTGGAGGCCCCTTGGGGGCCTTTCTGAGGCCCTTTGGGGGCCATTTGGGGTCCCTTTGGGGGCCCTCTGGGGGCCCCTTCGGGGCACTTTAGGTCTTTAGGAGCCCTTTGGGGGCCCCCTTGGGGCCTCCTAGGGCCTTTTGGGGGGCCCCCTCAGGGGCCCCCAGGGGGCCCCTAGGGGGGCCCCCACCTGTGGGGGCCCCTTAGGGGCCCCTCTAGTACACAGTAGGTCCCCAGTGTGGGGCCCCACAGGGGGGCCCCCACTGTGGGGTAGCTATACCGGGGGGCCCCTACAAGGACCCTGGGGGCCCTTAGGGGGCCCCTAGGGGCCCCTTCATGGGCCCCCTAGGGGGCCCCCAAGGGGGCCCTCTAGGGGCCCCCTAAGGGGCCCTTTAGGGGCTCCCTAAGGGGTCCTTTGGGGGACCCCAGGGCCCCCTTTTGGGGGGCCCCCAGGGGCCCCCAAAAGGTCTTTTCGGTTGGGGGCCCCAGCTAGGAAAGTTAGTAGTTAGGGGCTCCTGGGCCTCTCATTCTGGGAGGCTGTGCAGTTGGGGTGAGGGTTTAGGGTTTAGGGTTTAGAGTTGATTAGGGTTTAGGGTTTGGGATTTGGAGTGAAGGGGCGACTTGGCGCTGGGGGCTGAGCTGCCAGGGGGCAGCAGCAGAAGGCAGCATTTTGTGAACTAGGGTTTAGCGTTTGGGGCCCGCGGATTCGGGGCGGCTTGGGCAGCGCAGCTTTCGCCGCAGCTGAGGGTTTAGGGTTTAGGGTTTGGGGGGTTGTGTGCACGGAATTCCGTGCATATAAGGCGGCTGGGCGCATGCATTCTGTTTGGGGCAGCAGTTAGCTGCTGGTGGCGAGGCCCCGAGGAAGGGGCCCTGCGAGGGGCCTCGGAGGCCCCTGGGGGCCCTCCAGGGTTTAAAAAGAATCAAAAATGAATTAACTTTGCAAAGTGAATTAAATTTGAAAAGAAGTGACGGCGGGAGAGGCGGAAAGGCAAAGAGTGGTGGTTTGCGGAGGGAGCTGTACAGACACCGTCCTAAATTGGTCGAACGGCTGCAGCTGAAAGTGCGGAGACTTCCAAGGGAACATACTTAGAAGTAATCTCTGATAAGTGCATATATATGTTACTTTTAAAAAGTTAATACTGTCTAAAATAAAGTTCATAAGTTCAAACATACTTAGAAGTAATCTCTGATAAGTGCATATATATGTTACTTTTAAAAAGTTAATACT